CTACACAAACTTCACAATCAAAAAAACCCTAAAAAATACCCTACAGCCACATTTCTCTCCTAGAAACTCTTGTGAGTTAATTTGAGAAAATTGGCATTAGATATCAATTTTAGGTGATTTAAACCATAAAAAAGAAAAAAAAATTAAAAGATAAAAAAAAAAACACAATCAATCCTTGAACAAAGCTTTTGACATTTATCCATTTACAATTCTCAATCGGAGGTTCAGGTATTTTCTAAACATTTTGATTTTTTCTTTACATATTTTTTTTTTTTTTTAACATGTTCATCAATTTTCAGAAATGATCGATGACATAGTAACTTCATCGATGAACAGACTTTTCCAGAAATTGAGTACTATTCTACGCCACTAGTTCATTACTATTAGTAACTGTTTGTTCAATGAACAGTAGCTGTTCATCCATTTTCCCAGAATTGATTGATGAACAGTAACTGTTTGTTCATCAATGAACAGTAGATGTTCTTAATTTTTCTAGAAATCGATACTATTCACACACTGTTCACACACTATTCAGTATACTGTTCATCACTATTCAGCACTATTCATCACTATTCAGCACTGTGCCTTTAACCATAAGGCAAGAGCGGGTCATTTATTTATTCCATTTTTGATTTGGTTTGTCGACCGCCTTGAACCATAAGGCCGCCTTGAATAAGGCAAGAGCGGGTCTTTTTATTTATTTGGTTTAATTGCTTTGATTTAATTGCTTTAATTTGAATAATTGCTATGTGATAATTAGATTTGTTATTTTTGATTCGGTTTGTCGCCCGCCTGAATCATAAGGCAAGAGCGGGTCTTTTTATTTATTTGTTTAATTCGTTGATTTAATTGCTTAATTTGAATAATTGTTATGTATAATTAGATTTGTTTGGAGACGATTTAAATAATTTTTCAAATAGAACTCGGTCCATTTATTGTGTTGGGTTTAAGTAAAGAAATATTTTGGCTTCTAACTAAAATAAATTGAAATCTAGTTAATAATAGAGGCCGTTTTCCGGGCGTCGGCTTTCCAACGGGCCGACGTACCCAATTCCGTTACCCAGAATGATTGATGCGCAAATAACCCAATCTTTTGAAAATATTTGGGCCTTAAAACAAAAATTGGTTTAAAGGATCATTTTAATAAAAACGGTTCCCATTGCCCAAACAAGGGTGGCGACTCAAAATTGTTTATAAGAACGATTTATCGGCATCGCATCCAAATAAAAATATTTCATCAAAAACACTAAAAGGATGTTTTCGAGTCCTTCGGGGGGATTTTCGGCGAAAACAAGTTCATGCTTTTGATCTTTTACACATTGACATTTGGGGGCCCTATGGGGTCAAATCTATTACAAATGCTTTCTATATGCTCACAATTGTTGATGATATGTCAAGATATACCAGGACTTTCATGTTACATTCAAAAGCACAAGTTCACCAAGCCTTAACCACATTTTTTAACTTTGTTCAAACCCAATTCAATAAAAGAGTCAAAGCAATCCAAACTGATAATGGCAGTGAATTTATTAATTCCAGTTGCATTTCTTTGTTTGAAAATTTAGGCATTGTTCACCAAAAATCCTGTGTGTATTCCCCTCAACAAAATGGAAGAGTTGAGAGGAAACACAAAACCTTAGTTCAAAACCTTAGTTCAAGTAGCCAGGTCCTTAATGTTTCAATCTCATCTTCCTACACATTTCTGGTCTGAGTTGCTCCTTATTGCCACATATATCACAAATAGATTACCTTCAGAACCCCTTCATTGGACCTCTCCATATCAAAACTTATACAATAAAGTCCCTGACCTTTCCTATTTCAGAACCATAGGTTGTCTCTGCTATGCCACAGATGTTACCCCACACAAAACCAAATTTCAAAAGAGAGCTTCTCCTTCAGTATTGATTGGCTACTCAAACCAACATAAAGGGTATAGATTATATAATCTCAAGTCCAAAACCCTTTTTCACTCAAGGGATACTGTCTTTCATGAGCATATATTTCCCTTCTCCAGCAATCATCCAGAATCAGTTGCCCACTCTTCCTTGCCAAAATACATTACTGACCATAATCTTTCTTCTTATTCCCAACCTTTACAAACTGATACACCTTCTCCACCAGCACCTCCTCAAGCCCCTACACAGCACCTTACACCAGAACATACCTTACCAGAACTAGACTCACGATCACCAACTGAACCACTTTAACCAAACCAAAATTCCTCAACACATGGGCATCATTGATTTGCCAAAAGGAAAAAAACCAATTGGGAACAAATGGATCTACAGAATCAAACATAATCCTGATGGGAGCATAGACAGGTATAAAGCAAGGCTTTTAGCTAAGGGGTATAGTCAAATCCCTGGAATTGACTACACTAACACATTTTCTCTTGTTGCTAAATTGGTAACAGTCAGAACCTTCTTATCTATTGCTACTGCAAAGTCATGGCACATTCACCAACTAGATATTAACAATGCATATCTTCATGGTGAAATTACTGAAGATATCTATATGTCACCCCCACCAGGCTATCACAAAGTCCCTGAAGGCAAGGTTTGCAAATTATTGAAGTCCCTCTATAGTCTCAAACAAGCTGGGCGGCAATGAAATAAGGAATTTACTTCCTTTCTTTTATCTTTGGGCTTTATTCAATCACCAAATGACCATTGAAAATAATTTCCTATCTTTATTAGTATATGTTGATGACTGTTTAATTGTAGGAAATAATTTCAGTCTCATTTGTGATCTCAAACAATCCTTGCATTCTAGATTCACTATCAAAGATCTTGGGAAAGCCAAATATTTTTTAGGCATTGAAATTGCTAGATCACAGCACGGAATGATTCTTTCTCAACAGCAATTCATCACTAATATAATCTCAGACACTGGTTTATCTACAGCCAAACCAGCACAAACTCCATACAGTCAGGGCACCAAGTTAACAGCTAATATGGATAATTTACTTCCTGATCCTGAACCTTTCAGAAAATTGCTTGGTAGATTACTTTACTTGTCACTCACAAGGCCTGACATTTCCTTTGCTGTATAGCAGTTGAGTCAGTATATGCAAAGTCCTTGATCTTTCCACTACAAAGCTGCTCTGCATATTGTAAAGTATCTTCTCGGCACCTTATCTGTTGGATTATTTTTCCCAAGCAATAACAACTTTCAAATTACTGCATATTCAGATGCAGACTGGGCTGCTTGTGTAGAAACCAGAAAATCTGTCACTGGTTTTTGCATCTTTCTTGGAGATTCTCTCATTTCATGGAAATCCAAGAAACAACAAATGTTATAGTTAGTAGATCATCTGCAGAATCAGAATACAGAAGTATGGCCTCTACAGTTTGTGAAATTCAATGGCTCTTCAACCTTCTTAAGGATTTTCATATACCTATCACCCTCCCCATACCTCTTTATTGTGACAATAAAGCTGCCATCCATATTGTTTCTAATCCGGTCTTTCATGAAAGGACAAAACATATTGATATAGATTGTCACATTGTTAGATCCAAATTATCGTCCGGGTTTATAACTACTCCCCACATCTCTTCAAAACGACAACCAGCTGACCTTTTCACCAAACCACTTCCATTTCCTACCTTTCATCATGTCATTCTCAAGCTGGGATTGGCATCACTCTCCCCATCTCCACCTTAAAGGGGGGCTGTACAGAATAATCCATACCTAAATAACTAACTCAACCACCTTACACAGCACAGCGCCAACAGCAATAACTAATTACTTCATTACCAATCATTATCCATCATTGGCTGATTCAAATCATTTCCATTCATATTTCAGCAATATAATTCCAATGTTACCAAGAATTTATCTACCAATTAGATGTAGATCATTTAGCTAAATTTCTAGATCATTCTCATTTTGATAGTATATAAATTCACCCTGTAGCGGAACATTAATACTTGAGAAATAAAATATAGAGCAATATTTTTTTCTCCAATATTTGAATTCAAAAGCTGTTCACTTTTGCAATTTTATTTTATGTCGACCTTCATGTCAAGTTTACTATAATTTCGATATTTTATAGCAATAACGCCCTCAATTGCAATAAGTGAAATGAAACTACAAATAAAAAAGTATTTACATCCTTTTCTAAGTATAGTATCTTATTGTTGAATAAATAAAAAAAGTAAAATTTCAAATGTCTATTATATTCACATCTAGTAGATGACACATTTATTGATTTAAAATAATTAAAAAATTATTTATTTTTTATTAAACGAAAAATAAATTAACTATATTATCAATCCAAAAAATTACAAGAACTATGATTTTTTCCTTATAATATAGATAATATAAAAACATACATAATTAAAACATTATATTTTATCAATTCAATTTTTATCCCTTGCTAAGGATTTTTTAGTATATAGTAAAAATTTATTTATTTATTGATTAGCAAATTTTTTTCAAAAATTTAAAAAATTAATTTGCACAACATCAATTGGACAGAATAGTGGTACTTTTTTTCATATTTTTATATTTTAAATCTTTATTAGTGTCATACTATGGTTGGGAAATAAATTTTATTTATAATTTTATCATTGATTACAATTGAAGGTGTTATTGTTATAAATGGTTGAAATTGGGATAAAATTGACAACCAAAGTCAAAATAGAGTAAAATTGCCAAATCTCCTAAAGCTCTAGGTATTACGACATGTTAACCCTTATTTTTCTATTATTAATTGATTAAATTCATTATTGTTCTTAATATATAAATACACACACACACATATAGTATATATATATAATATATTTATATATATATATATAGATATATACAATTACCAAAACTATCTTTAATTTAAAAGAGAAAAAGAAAAAGAAAAATTGTAATTTCTTCATCTAGATAATCCAGTACAAGTCAGAGTCAGCTACACGTACGCTTTGGTGCATGCGAAATGACATTTCGGAAGAATAGGGTCCCACACTCTATTCACGCTCCGTCCTTTTCTCTTTCTCCTCATCCATTATTAATAGGAGTAGCTAAGCTGTCCCTTTTCTCTCATTATAACCACTAACAGAAAAACCCATTGATACCTTTCCTTGGCCTTCTTCTTTTCAATTTAAAGACTTGTTTCTTGCTTATATCCATTATTACTTCTAAACCTTTCTTTCTTCCTCTCAATTTTCTTGTTTTCTTTTTCAAGAAAATCTAAATATGGTTGCCTTGGTTTCCCAAGAAAATAATGTTCTTCCTTTGGTTTCTCGTACTGGTAGACATTTGCAGCGTTACAGTAAAGGCGGTCGTCGCCAAGTTGTTGGGTTAGTCTCCTTCAATTTTTATTTTCTCTTCTATGGAGAGTAACTGAGGAAGGAATATGAAATTTCAATTCCTATGGAATCTTGATTTCCCCTGATTTTCTTGCTAACTATATTTGACAAAGGGCTTCAAGTTTCCAGCTCTGTGCTTTATATTTAGTTCTAGTTTGATGGATACAAGTGTTGATTATTAGGATTTCTCAAACTTTTATTATAATTAAGGTATTTTGATATCATTAGGTGTTGTTTGGTTACTAATTTAACCTTTGCTTTGGCCTTGTGCAGGTGTATACCATATAGATATAAAACTGAGAAAAAAGATTCCTTGAACATTGAAGAAGAAGGATTTGAAGTTCTTGTGATTAGTTCACAGAAAGGAAAAGGAATGCTATTTCCTAAGGTGCATATTGATTTAACTCGATCACTGTCACAAAAAGAAAATAATTAAGTTAATTAGCTGATACTAAACTCATAGAACTGTTATTTTTCTAATTACTCCACAACTCTAAAGTTTCTCTCAATATTATTCATTTTTAGGGAGGTTGGGAATTGGATGAAACTATAGAACAGGCAGCGTCAAGAGAAACAGTAGAGGAAGCTGGAGTAAGAGGCATTGTTGAGGTTTGTTTTAAAGCATATTATTTAGCTCTTTTACTTTCTATTTCTTGATGTTTTATGCATCTTTTTGAGGTTGGATATTCTTTTTCAGTGTGAATTAGGCAAATGGAGTTTCAAGAGCAAAACACATGATACTTATTATGAAGGATACATGTTCCCTTTACTTGTTCAGGAGCAATTAGATTTCTGGCCTGAGAAAAATGTTCGTGAAAGGAAATGGGTATGCGCCTAATGCTATTCTTATGGAAAAAATTATTACATTTTGATTTCGCTTAATTTAAAATCATAACCTCATAATCCTGAAGAGGACTCATTAGAAAATTACTTTGTCTTTTGTTAATTAATTTGGTTGTTACATTTATTTTGCTTAGTATCAAAACTATCCATAACACAAGATTTGCTAATTTTGTGTATTATTCCATTTGTTTATGTGTAGATGAGTGTCGCAGATGCAAGAGAATGCTGTCAACATTGGTGGATGAAGGAAGCTTTAGATCTATTAGTTAATCGTCTTATTTCACAGGAACAACTTGAAGAAGGAGAAGTGAGGTCTTGCTTTGAAGAGGCTACAAGAGCAACATCCAGAATTTGTAAATAGGCAAATTGTTGAGGAATTCAGCTATTAGAGGGCTTTTTAGGACAGAATATGTGGAAAAGGTTTATAGTAGGAATTGAAATGAACAAGAAAGTGTTTCTTGGTTTCTTTTGTTTTTGCATATTCTTGTTTTCGCTTTCTTGGAGTTTCAGTTCTGAATTCTTGTTAGGTGTTTGTTTAGTGGGAAAACTAGAAAAAAGTTGGATCAAGAAGAGAAAAAGATGTTGATGACATTGTACAACATTTTTTCTATATGCAAAGAATCTTCGAAGGAAAATTTCAATTTTGTCTGATTTTTTAAGTCGGTTAACTGTCTTATGACTTTCAATTTCTCATTGTCTTTGTCATCCAAGATCCATCGGCAAGATTTTCGTGGAACTGTAGACAGGCGTTGACAGAAAGAATCTACATAGAACCTTCTTATGTTTTATTGGAATAACTTGTCAAACTTTATAATAAATTAATTGCTTAGGAATATATCAGTATGAAAAAAAGAAAAATGAAAATTGCAACCATTACAAGTTTTAATTAGTTAGAGGAAGTTGGAGTGGAAATTGTTATTCTTGTTCTTAATATATGCTCTGTATCTAACGAGCTCTGCAGTTGTGTTTAGAGTTTACTTGTTACTCTAGTTACGAGAGCCTAATTGATCGGAAAAATACAGTGAGCTACTCAGCAGGGAATTATCATGTTTTTGTAAAGTTCATTAAATTGGTAATAATTTTTATAGAGGAGAAAATACCGTGAGCTACTCAGCAGAGAATTATCCTGTTTTTGTAAAGTTCATTAGATTGGTAATAATTTTTATAGAGGAGAAAATTTAAATTCGAGATCTCTTTTTCTAACTGAGAGATTTCTTTTTCTCCGCACTTTTTATAAGAGGTAGTAAACCAGACAGACATAACTAGTTTTTAAAAGTGGTTTTATTTTACTTTCTTTTCTTTTTTCTAATTGGCTTTAGAAAACCATAAATAACAAAAGCTAAAAATATTTACTAAATGTTGAATATTATTAAATAGAATTGAATGCTAGGTAATTGCTGCAGAAATTTCGTTTCATAAGTTTGTGTCATTCTTTAAATGAGATTTCATTCACTTAATTTTATTCCAAAAGCAATCCATGAATTTTTATTTTCTAATTTTCTAATTAAATTATAGAATGTGAATTTCATGGACTTTGAAAATTCACTGATTTCATATTCTATTAATTCAAGTGAATTAGTGTTTAAAATTTTTCATCATTTCTAAAATTTCGCATTTATGGCTAGATCTTTTTTATATATTTTTTTATATTTACGACGGATAACTACCGAACTTAATAGATAAATTTTATTTGAAAATATAATTCATGGTATGCCCATCTAATACTTTGGTATATCACATACTCTTTTATTATAATTAATTTATTATTATTATTGTCATTATTGTTATTATTATTGTTGTTATCATTTTTTTTTTTTTTTTTACGACGGATAAACCGTACCGAACTTAATAGATAAATTTATTTTGAAATATAATTTCATGGTTATCCCATCTAAACTTTGGTACATCACATACTCTGTTTATTATAATTAATTTATTATTATTATCATTATTTTATTATTATTGTTGTTATCATTTTATTTTTTTTTTTTTTTGAAAAGGGTTATTTTTGTTGTTATTGTTATAATTATTATTAGATGTTACGCATAATAGTATATTGATAGGAGGATGATGGATTAGGCCCAGTTTGCACGTTTACCAATATTTCCACCAAAACAGTGGGTAGCCCACTGATAATGGTTGCATGAAGAATATTTTTATGGGTTTATTTATATATACAATTTTATAAACTCCCAAGTTTAAGTTACATTAAAATAAATAAAAAATAAAAAAGAAGGATAGTGAATGGAATATCGATTGAATAATAACTCCATCCATACATAACTTGCTTGCTATTTATTTATTTATTTATTTATTATGTTTTAGGTTAAAAAGTATTTAAGAGAAAATTATATTCGGAAATGTATCATTAATTAAATTAAAATCAAATAATAGTTTTAGTCCCAATTGTATGTTAAATATTAAGGAGACCATTCAGATCATTCTAATAGGAATAACTTTTCCAACCGCTAGATTACAATTTATATTGAGATGAGTACAATTTTTATTAATATATATCAGATAAGAGTCATTTTATTTTATTTTATTTTATTTATCCTAAAGGATGGTCAATGGGTTAAATTAACATAATGTGTTAAATGAACATAATAGGTTAAAAAATAGGATAGCTCTCCTAACTTGTTAAATTTGTGAAAATATTTATGGGCAAGAGAATTCGAATTCATGATATCAGATCACATATTATTGACAAGTATAATTTTAAATTTAATAACTTGATAGAACTAGGGGTATAAATGAGTCAAGTCGGCTTACAAGTTGTTGAAGCTCGACTCTAAAAAAGTTCGAAAAAGTCGATTCGAATTTAATGATGTTTAGTTTGAAAGCTCCTCGAGTCTTATTGAGTTTCTATAAAATATATATTATATATATATATTATATATATATAGTATATATATAAATTCAAACATAGGCAGAAGAACGAAATTTTTAGAAGGAAATGCATGCAGGGAGAATAATACTTCTTGCCATTTTAAGTCCCAATAAATGAAAGGAAGAGAAACTTGAGGAAGGCAAAATAAAGAAAATGGCAAATGGGCTTTGGCCCAGTTGAGCTGAATTTAGTCTTTCTCTTATACATGATTGTTTGAATCATTATATGATGAATTAAAAAGGGCTTGTAGATGAGGCAGCAAGCGCAAGGCGTAGAATATCTGAAAATGACCTCATCAAGAGGTTAATGTTAATGTTGGGACGACAGTGACATAGAGACAAACGTCAATAAATCTTAAACGACATTATTGAATGTGACGTCTGCTCTTTACAATCTCTGTCCCTTATTTGTTGTTAAGAGAAAAAAACCAAAAACCCATTATGGCTAACTTCCAATCTAACCAAACAAAAGCACCCACATGTGAATGTGTGTTCGTGACCATACCTTTTAAGGCTCTCGTTGGAGACCATTTTCTTCAACATTAACTCCAAATGCCCCACACTATACTTGGTTCATACACTATACAGGTGTGTTTGACTATATATAGACCTAATCCTCTCTCCCATTACTCCCTCACCATACATAGCCTTCCGTTATATATATATATACCTATATATTTTTTTTTTTTGTATTATTTCCTGTTGAATATTGATATTATATTTTTTGAGTTACATTATACTGGTTTTTTTTGTATTTTTCCTGTTGAATATTGATATATATTTTTTGATACATTATACTGGTTCTTTAGTTCGGATTTTTTAACCCTTTTTTTAACAATTTTAAACTTATTCTTTGGCTTCATGAAAACAAATGGAATCGAAAAAAAGATTTTATTTCTACGGAAACCAAAACTAAATGTTTTGAAAAATCTAAACTGAACTTGTTTGATTTAGTCACAGAAATTTGTTAACATGTATTGCTTAATCTTCAGAATTTAATTTTTAGATTAAATTTGAATTCAGTGGATAACATTTTAACTTATGGAAGCTCAGAAGATTGTAAGAGGGATTTTAACGTAGAGCTACCAAACTGTAATTTATTTCACCAAAATAATAAAGAAAGCAAACGAGAGAATGACAGTCTTTGAACTAATTTCAGTTTACATATTATTCACGTCTCATAATAGTAGTAGAGGTGGCCATGGTTCCGAAATCGCCGGTTTTGATTTCAGAATCGAATCGAAAATTGACGGTTCCAGTTACGGTTTAAAACTGAACGGTTACGGTTTTGGTTCCGGTTCCTTAACGGTTTTAAAACCGACGGTTCCAGCCGGTCCTCCGACTGATTTTTCGGCGAATCGCATAATTGTAAAATAAAAAAGTAGAGAATATTTTTTCTTCAAAATTTAAAATTTAAAATTTTGTGAAATAATTTCTAAAAAAAATTCTAAAAAAAAAAAATAACCTTAAAAATTAAAAAATGCTTAAACTTAATTTATTTTTTTATTTTAAAAAAGTCTTCAAACTTAATTTATTTTTTGTTTAAAAAGTCTTCAACTAATTTTGGTGAGGGGATTGTAAATGGACATGAGTAGTATTTATATAAAATCTAAAAATCAGTTTTTCTACATAAATACCTTTAAAACTAGCTGTTATGTACGTCTATTGTATAGTTGTTAGGAGGCAGTTACATTTGAGAACTTTCACTAAACACTCATTTTGAAAAAAGAAAAAAAAGCTGCGGTTTCCAGCCGTTTATACTAAAAATTTAAAATCTGCTTAGAACGTCAGTTTCAACTGTGCGGTTCTAACAGGCTTGGAAAAGCGCGTCGGTTCTGTACGGTTTCAAGCCGGATTTCTCTGAACTGGTTGTTCATGGTTCAAAAATAGGTGGAACCGAGCAACCAAACCACGTATTTCACAAAACTATTTGAAAAAAAAAAAGCTGCGGTTCCAGCCGTTTAATATAAAATTTAAAATCTGCTTAGAACCGTCAGTTTCAACTGTCGGTTCTAACAGGCTGGAAAAGCCGTCGGTTCTGTACGGTTTCAGCCGATTCTTGGAACTGTTGGTTCATGGTTCCAAAAATAGTGGAACCAGAACCAAACCATAGACCATCGATTTCGGTTCCAATTCCTACCGGTTTAGAACCGATGATTCCAATTCTGAAAACCATAATATGGCTGGATCGTGAGCATGTATTTTTTTATATATAATCTATAAATTCGAATTCTAAACAAATGCGTCACAGAATGGTAATCGGTCACCATTACCATTCTAGGTAAAGATAAAGAACCCTCCAGGGTTTTACACATTGATTTAACCATTGAAAGTTAATTTTTTAGACGAAAAGACTATTTTATTAATTTAACAGATCAAAACCTCAGAGACATTTAAATTAGTTTTTGTAAATATAAAGGTTAAGTAGTTAATTGAACCATACATTTGGCACTAAAATTATTTTTCCCTCTTCTTAAAATCTTGGCCGAAGTAATTTTGTTTTAATGCAGTAAATTTATTTGTAATTATAAGTGAAAGAAAAATTGATCAGACATTATGATATGCAAAATAGTACTCTCTCTGTCTCAAAATATAAGTCGTTTAAGGTTTTTGTACAAGAATTAAGGAAGCAATTAATTCTCCTAGATTATAAAAAATTCAAGGGTAATTTTACCAAATTATTCTTTATCTCAAAACTAATAGTTGCTTATGAAGTATTTATTATAGTGTAAACAAGGACAACATTGAAAAAACATCATTTATTACTTTTTGAAATATGCAAAACGACTTATATTTTGAGACAGAATAACAAACCAAAAATGACTTATATTTTGGGATAGAGGGAGTAAGATCTTTTTCTTTACCTATAAAGATCCTAACTTTTTTTTATTATTTTTTAAAATTTAGAGTGTTAATTAAATTTTTTTTTTGACCTTTTTAGCAATTGCGCTTTTAAAAATTAAACTTATATTTTAATTTTATAGAGATTGATGTCGATTATCACTCGTACAAACACATTAATGAAGGAGAATTATATAAAATTTTAATTATGATTAATTATCCACTACTAATTAAATGTTCGGGCCTTATACTAGGCTTTGTTTAGTAATAACTTTCAATGTACTGTATAGTATTTTGATTCTACAGCTACAATTTATAATGTTCAATGATATATCTTTTATATTAGTATTTATAGTTTGAAAAATCAGATTATGAAATGTTGCTTCTTTTAATATTTGATGAAATAATAACAATTAACTTTAATCTAACTGATTGAAGGTAAAACGCTAGCCATTCCATAGGTTTTATTCCATACTAGATTTTTAAGTAACTTTTAGGTTTTAATCATTAAAAATAGGAAATATCAGTTTTTTATAGTGTTTAATAATATAGCGTTTGAACTGGTTTTTAGAAGTTAAAATTATTTTTCGTAAAATTTTAAAAGCTACACATTAAATGAGTTAGACTCTGTTTGCCAACAACGTTTGAGGAAGCACTTAGTGTTTTGACCACGTTAAAATACTATTTTTATAAATTATATGGTTCGGTAAAGTAATATATAAAATAATTGTTAATGAATAATATAATATTTATTAAAATGTTAACCCACCTGTGCAGCGTTTCCATTTTTTGATTGAAATGTTTTAACAGCTTTGTCCTTAATTAAACTATATTAACCTTAGTTTAAAGCCTTTCTTTCTAATGGTTGCTATTAATTCATTATTAAATTATTTTATTTAAATTTTTGTGTAAAATAATGTAATCTATACTTGTAGTTCAACTGTATAAATTGAAATTATTATCATTTCTAAAATGATCATATAATTTTCTCACATATTATATTATTTTAATAAAACATTATATAAATTATCTCTTTATTTTATAATGAGTTCACTTCTATAGTGATAAGTTAAAATTCTAACTCAATATTTAAATTTTCTTTTTAGTTATTTTAAATTCAACTAATCAAACAATTATTTTTATCAATTACTTTTACTTTAAATATCTACTATCTAACAGCTAATATCTAACTAGTAAAACTATTAGGAGCTACTAAAACAACTACTAGTACTGAATATGTCTTTAACCTTTTATAAAATGTTCTCTTAACTTATAAAAGTTAATTTAAACGTTATGTTACCAAATACTATGAAAAATAGTATTTGACATTTGACTAGGCAAAATATTAAAAACGATTTAAAAAGTTATTGTTGAACACAGTTTTAAACAGCTAAATACTATTAAAATAGCTAACGGTTATCAAAATAATTAATTTTGCCAAACATGATGAGAATCTATTTTTATGATATATATAGGAAAAATCTTAATGTTGAATTAATGTTCTACTTAGGTTTCGATTACAAACAATTAAAATTTTATATCGAATTTTGACGATATTAGTACAACCATTATGTGTATATATCTATTAAAGATTTACTATGTGAGAATTGTAAAAATCAATGCGGTTGGCATAAAGTAGTGAAAGTGCCTTTTCGCAAATTTTTTGTAGCTCTATAATTTTTATTTTCAATTAAATAAAGTTCAACACTTTTTCTTGAATTTTCTTTTTCTTTGTTGTATTTTATCAATTCATCAATTTAGCCTTTTTGAGGAAATCGATTTCTTTTCCCTTCTAGCAAAGCACCAAAAAGTAAAAAGTGGGTGCAACAATGCGATGGACACAGTTGTTTTACTGTCTTCACTTGCAAAAGCTCTCAATTATATACTTTAATTAATAGGCAGAAAACAAGTATCGATGCACGTTAGTAAGACATAGCCCAGTGATAAATGCATTAAGAATTTCAATACTAAAAAAAAAATGTATTATTAAAAAATTTTTATTTAAATATATTTTTGTTCGAGTATAAAGACATATGTAAAAAAAAAAAAAAAAATCAAACTAATTTTTTTTGTTCGAGTATAGGAAGACATATGTAAAAAAAAAAAAAAAAAAAAGCCAAACTAAATTAATAACTCTAAAAAAAAAAAAAAAAAAGCCAAACTAATTAATAACTTATTTCATAAGCTATAATATTAACAAATTTAATTAAAAGCACCATAAGTATATATGTACGTATGTATATTCATCAAAATCAACGGCCCAGACTTGCCACCACCACATATATATCCTGTCTCTCTGTTTCTGTAGAGTAGCTTGTTTAGAAATGGCAAAAACACGTTTTATCTTCACGTTCCTACTCTTTCTCCTTCCCATTACTTCACCTTCCTCCACCGACTCCTTTGTCTTCTTTGGCTGCACTCAACAAAAATACTTACCAGACTCACCTTACGAGTCAAACATCAACTCATTACTGACTTCTCTTGTCAACTCAGCCACTTATTCTTCCTACAACAACTACACCATCATGGGCTCCAGCCCACAAGACGTCGTCTACGGCCTTTTCCAATGCCGTGGTGACCTTTCAATGCCAGATTGCGCCACCTGCGTAGCCAAAGCAGTGAGTCAACTCGGTGGTTTATGCTCTGAAACTTGCGGCGGAGCACTTCAGCTTCAAGGCTGTTACGTTAAGTATGATAATGCTACGTTTTTAGGCGTTGAGGATAAGACTGTTGTTTTAAAAAAATGTGGGCCCTCTATTGGGTATGATACGGCTGCGATGAGTATTAGAGATGCTGTATTTTCGGGCCTGCTTAGGACCGGCGCGCCATATCGGGCTGGCGGGTCTGGAGAGGTTCAGGGTTTGGCCCAATGTGTCGGAGATTTGAGCGTCGAAGAATGTCAGGATTGTTTGACGGAGGCTATTACACGGTTGAAAGGTGACTGTGGTACGGCGGTTTACGGTGATATGTTCTTGGCTAAGTGTTATGCCAGGTATTCTACAGGGGGTGCTCATTCTTTTACCAAGAATCATAGTGGTAAGTCAATTTTAAAATTTTAATTCATTTTGGGTATGAAATTTTAATTATTCAATGTATTAATAGTTACTTTTATACATTCTTGTGTCAATTTTACTAAGATAGGATCCAATAATTATCTAATGATAGGAAATTAATTAATTTGGACAATAATTATGTAAGTGAAATAATGAAAAATTTGCAAATGATAGTTTACCCTAGAATCTAGATAAACCTCAATCTCAATTTTCATTTAATTTTTAGTTTCTACCAAAAATAGTGAATAATTTATTTAATTATGTTGAGCTAGATAAATCTGTCAATGAGGGTGAGAAGACATTTGCAATTATCATTGGACTATTGGCTGGAGTGGCTTTAGTAATTATTTTCCTCATGTTCTTAAGAAAGGTGTTTGGAGGAAATGGTAAAATCTTTAACCCTTTCTATTATTATTATTATTATTTTCTTTTTCTTGATTACTTTGGTCTCATGTCTAATATAATTTCTATTAGTTTGAGAATTAAAAATGGTAATAATTCTCATGCAGGTAAATAAAGTTTGGAATATTTTCAAACACAAAGGCATAGCCCTCACCAGTACTCCACCTTCTCAAGTGATTTACTATTCTTCTTTTTTGATTCAAGATGTTAACTTTTCTCCTTTGTGCCCTAGTTAAGATTTTTTTTTTTTTTTTTTTTTTTTTTTTTTTTTTTTTTTTTTTTATTTTTAATTTTATACTATGGGAAAGATGGCTTTATAAGGAAGATGTTGATGAACCCAAATGACCAGATTTAAAGGAGGGTGAGACTTCATTTTTTTTTTTTTTTTTTTATTTTTTAATTTTATACTATGGGAAAGATGGCTTTATAAGGAAAGATGTGATGAACCCAAATGAAAAGATTTAAAAGGAGGGTGAGATTCCAAAATCTTCTCACCACTCCACTTGACAAAGTTGTATTGTCCAATGTGAAAAAAATATGATATTCTTTTTGTAAAGGTACAAAAGACGGTTTCTTTTTTCTTGGTGACTGTGTGGTGTTTGTGTTGTTTTATCTTTTGGCTAAGAAACAAATTCCTTTTTATGATTCATTTTTGTAACAGTATTCTATGAGTAGGAGTGGGCATGTCATTGTGATTTTGTACTACCGAAGGATCTAATATGCTTCAGAAAACCAATTCAAACAGAAAGTTAATTAGGGTTCACTTGCAACCAATGCACTTTCATATCCTTTATCAATTTTTTTTTTTTAAATGCCTAATTCATAATTTTATTCTCGAAAATTCGTTGTTTCTCCGAATGGCTCCCTCAATTTTGTATCAGTTCTATGACGACCCTGGACTTGAAATTTCTTCAGTAACAATGCTCTTGGTCACAATGGAAAAAGTAAGTGTAATACACGCACAGTGACATGGATTTTGTAACGACATGCGTATTTTTATTTAAATTCACATGGAAAATAAGACGTTGATTTTACGAAAAGTTAGTTTCCCTCCTTTCCTCCTCTATTTTCATTTCTCAAAGCCTCCAAAGCTCAAAAACACTTCAATCCATAAATCATTCTCGTGAGATATTACTATTTTCATTTCATATCTTTTACCAATTAAAAAAAAAAATCAAAAAGAGATCCAATGAGTTAGAATAACATATATAATTTAATTGAAAAATCATTGCATTATGGAAGCTGGAAATTGAAAAGGGTAATACACAATTTCATAACATTTAACACACTACAAAAAAAAAAAAAAATTATTGTGATATATCAAAAACTTTTAATAAACCGGTTTTGGGTTAAAAATCCTAATTATTCTTATACTTTAGCATTTACTTTAACTATTATATATTAAATTCTAACACAATTTCTAAATGTGACTTGAGTAGTAGCCTTCAGATAATAAAACAGGGAAAAAAAAATAACAGGTAATACATAAGTTTTAAATTTTTTAATTGAAAATCTATTTAAAAAGCAAAAGTGATACCGACAATTTAGTTTAAACTTCCTGCATTACAAGATAAACACTTTAAATCACTATAGATTAAATGACAAAAATCAGTTGGGATAGTTCATTTTCCCTACCACACCAATTAAGTAAGCTCCATATGCACAAGTTTATTCAAATTATCAAAATTTATGATTTTTTTTTAAAAAATAATTTATAATTTCTAGTATGAGTTGAATTTATTTATTTTGCATTTCGCATTTTTTTTTTTTTCTTAATGTACTTGATAATGATAACAAGTGCTGGTTTGATGGCACATTCTATGGTAAGTCCTCGTGCTAGCATTATTCCTCTTTTGTACCTTAGGAGAAGTATTATATATTGCACTTCTTTTCAAATTTATGTCTATTTACTATCAAATTATTTTTTATTTAATTAATTCCCTACTTGAAATCATTAATTTTTTTATGTGAAATTTGAGAAAATTGAATCCCGAGCAAAGAACTTCTGCCCACTCTTACTTTAAACTAAAGAAAGTTTTTGGAACTCATAACATATTCTTCTTTATTCATAAGTAAATGGAAAAATAATTATTTAATCATGAAGTTTTATAAAATTAATTAACTCGTTTTTGTAATTATATATATATATATATATATGAGACATTTAATTCGAGATTTGATTCCGTCTCGTTAACTAATTTTTTTGCTATCCACTGTCCATAACTTCACCGAATAACTCACTACAGCCTCCAACACACTCTCACCACCGTTGCCAACGACGCAAAAACTCTACCACAATCCCACTACTATCTATCAACAAAAATTACCAAGATAATGAAATTTGTTACCTATAAAGATTTATCAGATCAACAAGAGCTAATTCTTTTCTTTTCAAAAAACAAGAGCTAATAGTTTACAACTCAACAAAAAAAAAAGGAAAGAAAACAATTCGATTTCATCTCCTTCTTCTTCTTTCAATTTGTTCTTTAACCAAAACCTGTAAATCCCAAAAGCAAACATAACTGCAAATGCACAGCAACCAATTACAATACGAGCAAGTTCTACAACTAATAAAGACTTGGAAGATGAAGGTAGCATAAAAACGGGTAGATTGATTGTGTTTATATATCTGGGATTTCTTATGCCACCAAAAAGGAAATACCAGTCTTACAGTGGAGCCTAGTGCAGAGATTGTGAAGTTAGGGATTTGGATGAGACAGTTCTGTCAAAGGAATTTTTTATATGAAAAATCGGCTACTTCTTAAATTATCCTTTTGATTTTAAAATCTCTAAAACCCTGTATCGAGGAATCACTCTTTTTTTCCACTCTCTGCGATCACTCTTTTCTCCACTCTCTGCATCAACAATGCAGGACTATCTTCTCTAGAATGCTTAAAATGACTTGCCCAGATTGTTACCCACAAGACTCATATCTTTAGAAAGCTTAATTTTTGGTCTTAGGGACCTTTCAACATTAGCAAAGAGAATTTGGGGCGATGTACGTATAGCAGATTGGATATGGGAATTGGAGAAATTGAACCATAGATTTAACATTTTCAATGGTTTTGCAATGAGAGACGCGAGTGCAGATAGAGATTGCTTGTGTTTCAAAGATTTTAAAGTTTTTAATTAGGTAATCAACAAGTGCTGGGTTTCGGCCTTTTGAGGCTTTAGCAAGAGAAGAGAAATTATTTATGTTTGTTGAGTTTGTACAGTAGAGTCGCAAAAATGGAGATGAAGAAGATTTAGGAGAAGAAGAGTGATGGTTTAATTTTTGTCTTATTGTAAGGGTGTTTTAGTCTTTTATTAAGTATTTAGCAGCAAAAATATTAAAATTAGACGGAATAACAAATTAACAAAATCAAATCAAATCTCAATAACTACATGTCTAATATATAAGTACCAGCCGAATTAATTAATTTCCCTAAATAAATCCATAGATGAAAAGGCTATTATATGTTGTGCTGCACAAAGCAAGACTTGGGAAACAAAGCCTATTTATAATTTCATTTGGATACATTGGAAATTTTTAATGGACATCGAAATTATTAAATGTTTAATACTTGATCTCTGCATTGTCTGGTTTACGAAATTAAATAGCAAACATAAAATACTTACTCTTTAGTACTCTTTATAAAATTTATATTTCATATATTTGAAAATATCTAAATTTTTTATTATTTAGAAATTTAACCAAAGATAGGTTACAAATTATCTATTTTATGGAATAATTAGTTCACATTTAAATTTAGTTTATATATATATATATATATATATCTTTAACATTAAGTTTATATATATAAATAATATATATATATATATATATATAATCAAGGAAGGAGTAATTCATAAACAACTTAATTTAAAAAATAATAATAAAAAAATCCTTATTGTAATGTGCCTGTCAACCATAGACTTAATAAGTATAGTTAATCTAAAAATAGTAAATTGGGGTTTAGTAAAAGAAGGAATCTCCATACATTATGGGCAGAGTCAGAGTGGATAAAATCCCAATAATTGGAATTTGCCTTAGGAATGAAGAGTTTAATGATTGAGAAACATTTTGTAGTTTAGCACTTCAAAATAGTGGATTGTGCATAATTTGGAGATAAGCAAAAAAAGCAATATATCAAGAATCACGAACGGTATATCCTCAAACCCATCATATATTGCTTTTGGTAATTTTTATATAAAGTTCAAATAAGAATCGTAAAAAGAGCTCTGAAATCCAATTGGCTCCGATTAAGCAATCTTGCACCTTTCCGGAATCTTGGATTGGTCCACTAGATGATAGGAAGAGCTTATGGGTTAAGGAAGCTGAGAGCAAGAGAGAGAAATGAATGTGTATATTCTCATGAATCTTTTTGAATATTGTAATTTTTTTTTTTTTTTAAAAGGCTATATATAGTTTGGACATCCCTAATGACCATTGACTTTTTCTTGGCTTAGAAGTAATGGTCCTTCATAATGCAGAATGCCAACTTAAAAGTAATACACCCAATAAAAGCATAGGAAAAGGAGTATGTTTACTACTGAAATGTGCTATTGGGAGCAGAATAAGTAATATAAAGAATTATTATCAAAATAGAGTCAATAATTAAACAATGAAATTAACAATCTAACCAACAATCCATTACATGCACAGTACAATACTATCAGTTAAACAACAAATGGATATTACAAATTGTAAAATTGTAAAGTCTAATTAGTCTTGTTATTTATGTGAGGAGTGAGAAGTCTTGAGTTCGAATTCTCGCGACCATATTGTTTTCATTAATTTTGTGAGTTCAGAGGAAGATTACCCTTGTGTAACCCGCAATTTTATTTCAACCTATTGAGTCTCCTTAGAGAAAACCTGGTTTACTAACTTTGAAACTTGTAAACAGAGAAATATTCTGCCTTAATTGATTAATTTAAGAAGAAAAATCAATTCTTGATTCTAGATTTTACTAATCACATGTAATAATATCAGTTTAATTTCTTTAAACATTGTAATCAGAACGACTAGATAAATATATAATGAACCCATGGTGTACAATTGTTGTGAAGCAAGTGAAATTAACCAAAATATATGAAATTATAAGTAAAAGGGGTATTGATTGACTAGTGCATCATGAAAGAAAGAACTTCGGCAGCCAACCTGAGACCAATTAGTGCTGCCAATTTAGGGGGGGGGGGGGGGGGGGGGGGGGGGGGCGTGGGAGGGATATTTAGATTAAAATCCACAGTAGATAAAGTTTTCAAACTAAACAATTTACGGGGGGGGGGGGGGGGGGCGTGGGAGGGAATATTTAGATTAAATCCACAGTAGATAAAGTTTTCAAACTACATTTTACATATATAAAATGGAGTAAGAGACGCCAAAGAGACCTTATTAGCTTCTCAAATTCACAGTTACACCCACAAAGAGGCACTCTATATTAGCAATATAATTTCATCAATCAATCAGCAATTTCGGCAATAGGACATTCTTTAAAGGATTTATAATATCACCCATTTTCTTTGCTAGCCTTGACAACCAAACTGATAGTGACACCAATAGCTAAACACAAACAAGCATATAGACAGACAAGTGTTGGGCAAACAGCAGTAAACAGCAACATTAGAAGGGTATGATAATACAGGACCATAAGGATTATTTCATAATTTCCATTAAATGGAACTCATAGCCTTTGTGCATGACAAAACCATCATCAAGGGGGACCAAAAGCTAAAGAATGTTTGAGAAAAATAAAAGAGGTCAGAAACATTTAAAAATGTGGCATGAAGCAATAACAATAAATTTTGAGTTAATTGTGCATTGTGCCCACAACAATGCGCTCTCAACTATTTCATACATGAGATAAAATTGAATCTAACAGTGCACAATTAGAGAATGCCATCAAAAGGCACACAACAGTTTAAATTATTTCAGTCCCCTTGCAGTAGAAACACTGCAGACCCGAAGTCGCTTCCCCAGGGAAAAATCTGGTTCATCTACTCGGACCCTACGCACCGCCAGTCACACTATGGGAGCTGGCCATGCCTGAAGTCATTGCTTTAACCACGAGGAGGGGATGCCGAAGGCAGGGTTATTGACTGGAGTGAAGTCGTAATTAGGTAGTCCTCCAAATTGCTGGTATACCTAGATTCTAAATCCAAATGGTAGTATCAGGTCCCTTAGCTATTGTTGCTCCAAGCCCTTGCAGAATTTCCAAAGCCCTTGCGGAATTTCCAAACATCATCTCGTATTCCAATTACAACCATTCCAGCCAAAACATAAAAACTTTACTTTAATTGATAAACAGCCACAGATGCATCCACAATTAGATAATGATAAGTAATTCCTAAACCTGATCAACAATAAAAATATCATATACCAAGGAACAATATTGAAAAAATAAATATCAAACATGCATCTGGTTGTAATAAATGTTTAGGCTTTATTTAGGTTGACCTCATTTTTTGTTTTTGACATTAAAAAGCTCAAACGTGCATGGATTATTAATTGTACCCAAACCCTTAAAAATCCTAAACAAGCAAATTGATTTCAATTGCACCTAACAACCAGGGAAAAAAAAAACCGAATAATTTTAATTCTCATCAAGCAATGCAGCTGAAAACGCCTGCACAGACAAGATAAACATGAATCTAATGAATAACGGTGTAAAAATAGAGAATGCCATCAGAAGGGACATATCAGTTTGGATTATTTCATGGTTCTTTGCAGTAAAAATACTGCAAAGCTCAAAGCCCTTGCGCAATTTCCCAAACATCATCTGGCATCCCATTGCAACCATTCTAGTAGTTGAATGAAACTTCAATTTGATAAACAAGTACAAATTTGTCCACTATTAGATATATAAAATTTTTCATAAAATAGATCAACATTCAAGATCAACAAGAAAAACATATCTGGGAAAAGTATGGGGAAAATATTGAAAACAAATACTATAGTTGCATCATGGATTCAAGGTCTAACAACAGGTTTCAGCTTTAATTAGGTTTAACTCACTTTATTTTATTCCAAACACGCAAATCTTCTGCAGTCATTCAATTCAGAAAATAGATCCAACAAATCAAACCAACTTTTGATTTCTAAATCTTAACAAGTAAAATGGCACAAACGTAAATGCAGATATTAAAAGGTTATTTTCACAATGCAGTAAAAACGGAAATGGAAGAAGAAAAAACAACAGAGGGTAGTGAAGGTTGAGGCTTTATGTAGGATGAAGTTATTTTACTTTTACATTTTATTTATAAAAAAAAATATTACATATTCATTAAATCAAACATTCTTTGTTTTCTAAATGTTAAAAATCAATTTGATATCAAACATTCATGCATAGAGGAGCAAGAAAAACAAAGAATTTCACAAATGCCAATCAACTGCTGCTATCAGAAAAGATTTGATAACATTGAATTATTTCATATTTTCCATTGAATGGAAATCAAAACCCTTGCGCAATATCATCATCATCATCATCTAGCAGCATTACCAGAAACCACCATTAAAAACCCAAAAATATTCAACAAAATCAAAGACAACTAGAAATAGTGGCAAGGAGGAGAGGTATGACTTTAGTAAATTTGATTTTGCATCCATGCGACCACTCGAAAGAACAAATCAAAATAATATCCATATACACATTAATACAAGCATAAAAATTGAAAGAATCTTACTAATCCGGTAATAACTTATAAAAAAGTAGACCAATGACGGACCCGAGAGAGAAGAATGAAATGTGACTTGCAGCTCTTAAACCCTAGAACTAGAATAAGCATCAGCATTCGCCCTTCGGGTGAAGGGCTGGGTTCTATGCTCTCTGGTTTCGGCTTAAAAGCCACCTGACAGCTAGACCTGATTATGGGCCCATAATGGACCGGGTTTAATTGGATCAATTTTTATTTTACCCTAGTTCTGTTCGGCCAGGTCCAAAAACTCATTGCAAGCTCAATTGGACTACGCTCGGGCTCAAAAACAGATTGAACAGGCCCGGTTGTTTTTTGGCCGGGCGGGTCTTGATCAGGTGTACCTTCTACAAAGCCCCAGAAGAAGCAAATGGGGACATAAGTACGTAACATAATGCATTGCCTGCATTGTGACAATGAGATAAAACTTAGAGATTAGAGAACCTTCTGGATTCTCTTACATCATTAACTCCACCTATAAAATAAATCCCAAACTCCCATTTTTCTTTCCAAGATTAAACGCTGAACCCAAGAGAGGGATCGATTTCTGCATAAAACAATGGCGGATGGTGTTTTCGGGTACCCTTTTAGGCGCCTGTTTTGGAACACTCCGGTATTCCGCGAATTTTCTGGATCAACGGCTCTTATGGATTGGCTTGAAACCCCTTCTGCTCATATATTCAAAGTCAATGTTCCAGGTACCATTTCTTTCTCACAGTATTTGATCCTGAATTTTTATGGGTCTCGCTTAATTGATTCACGAAATTATGGGTTTTGCTTGTCAAGAAATTATCTTTATAATTGAATTTTTATGAGATTTTAATTTCCTGCTTTGAAATTCTTTTTGGCTAATAGGGTACAGTAAAGAGGAAATAAAGGTTCAAGTGGAGGAGGGGAACATTTTACAGATAAAGACAGAGGTCGGCAAAGAAGAAAGCCATGGAAACGACACCGTTTGGCATGTAGCAGAGAGAGGGACAGGAAAGAAAAACTTTTCTAGAGAAATTGAATTGCCAGAAAATGTGAAGGTGGATAATATTAAGGCCCAGGTTGAAAATGGTGTTCTCACCATTATTGTGCCAAAGGATACAAGTCCTAAGCCATCTAAAGTCAGAAATATTAATATTACTAGCAAGCTTTAAAAATAAATAGTTTTCAAATTTGATGATGAGATTAGCTGAGATTGAGAAATAACAGTTTGGCCTGTGGACTGTTCTGTGCAATAGAAATATAATAATAGTTTAGTTTATTTGTAACTAAACCTCCTCTTAGAGTAATAATGTCAAATTTCAAGTATTATTACATCCTTTTTTTAAGACTTGGATTTGCAATTAGTTCAAATTCTTAGGCCAGTATTTTTTTTAATTACTGTTACAATTTTTTAAGTAGGTTATAATTTTTTAAGTAGTATTTAGTGATTTGATCGGTAATAGCTTTTTAAGCATTTTTTTTAGTATTTTGACCAATTAAATTGTTAAATATTATTTTAAAAATTATTCAGTAACATAATATTTAAATTTATTTATAAAGAATTAAAAAGTGTTTTGTGAAAAGTTAATTAATATTTAATTTTTAACATTTTATAAAAAATTATTTAAATAGTTAATGATTAAACATTAAGAGTCATAAAAATAATTAATTTTATTAAATAAATTCTCAATCTAATCGATGTTTTCACATTTTTTAGTGTCTTCTAGGTTCATCTATCTTTATATAAAGTATATAAATATATAAAGTATATAAATTTAAGCACGTAAGTACAACAAATTTAAATTGAATTTTCCTTTACCAATATTGAAGAACATTATATAAAATAAAACGAATACTAATTGAAACAATTTAATTGATTGAATTGAATTGATTAATATGAATGGAAAATACTAGTACGTAGCAATTTTTTAAGCAACATATTAAGTTTACAAATTATCTCCACACCAAGCAATGTCTTTAGAGATATAGGCTTTAAAAAACAAGATGGGTTTTGAAAATTTTTTAGATATGAAGCACAAGCCCACTTTCAATAATAGGCCTAGCTTGTATTTATTAACTTTATTTTAAATAAGTTGTGAACTCGTAGTTTGGACAGGTTACCATTTTTCAAACCAAACCCCACCCGTAAACCTGCCTTCTTATGATATTAATAAAAACATTGTCTATAATCAATTGGAACTCAAATCCTCCTTTCAAAAAAAAAAAAAAAAAAAGAATTCAATTCCAAAACTTGCTACTTGTCATATATTATTCATTTTGGTTTACAAAGAGATAGATTTTCTGCAGATTTAGTTATCATTTCTTCTAAGTTATCATTTAGTTAGGCTCGTTTAATTTAATTAGTCATATCAACTTGTAAGTTATAACTCGCAGTTGTTGATAGTTGGTAACAGCGTAGCTGATGCATGATTTATGAACTATTATCAAGTAATAATGTACCTAACATTAGGCTATGTCTTAATGTGCAAAATATAAAATGATTATTAAATGTGTAATTATATATTATGGTGTATATAATATATTTTAAATTTTTAAAGGTGAATATATTATTTTTTTATTTTAATTGAATATATTATTTTTTATTTTAAATATGGTGAATATATTATTTTTTTATTTTAATATCTTATATAATTAAAAATATTAATTAAAATTTTTAAAATAATATTCAACAAAAATTAATTATTTATAAATAACTATAAATAAATAAAATGATAAAAACTACAAATTTGAAAAATAATAACTTTATTAGTAATTATTTTACAATATTAATAAAGTTGAAGAATAATATAAATATTAATCCGCTATAAAAAAAAAATCCAAAACAAAGTTGATGAAGTTAGTAGTTGATTTTATAAGGTTGATTGGTTTAATTAAAATTCTTACCAAATACTTATAACCAACTGTAGTATACGAATTAGCCGTAACCAATCAATTTAACCAAATGCCTTTTTAAAATGTCCTCATATACGGCTAATAATTTAAAACAAAATTCAAAATTATTAAATCATTAATTTAATGTCAATAAAAAACCTATCAATATAATTTTTTTAACGAACTTTTAATGTTTTGATTAAGTCAAAACTCTATCTACGTCAATTGCAGCGTTCGGTAACACGCATATTGAGAAAGCTTTTAAAAGTTTAGTTTAATTTTTATAAAATGTTAAACACTCTAAAAGTTTAGTTTTTAACGCATTTAGCTTTTAATCAAATTATTTTGATAACCATACTCATTATTTTTTCTTTGTATTTAACTAATTAAACAATAATATTATTTTAAGCTAAATAAATATTTTTATCAAACACTTCTAATTTAAATCGTCGTATAAACAGCTAACAGCTACTAAAATAGCTAATATTGCTATTTTTTTTACTAAAAAAAAAGTCAAAATTAAAAAATTAATGTTGGCTTACCTTTCTATTAACAAGAATGGACAATAATAATTGAAACATGAATTAGACAAGCAATAATAATTCAAGATTTTGGGTATTGTCGTTGAAGTTTCTCTATGTTTTATTGAAATGTAATTTGGATATCTACTTTAGCTACCCAATTACTTCTCCATTGAAAGAAGCTAGGTTGTTCACACTCCCATTTGGAAAATCTCCACCCTATATCACTTTCTTACTTAGACTCCATTTGTTTCCTTAAAAAACATTTTTCAAATGGCTTATTTTCAATTGTTTGGTTGTAATATTGAAAATTAGTTAAAAATATTAATAATAATAGAAATTTTATAATTTAAAAATTTTATTGTTAAATATAAATTTTAATTGTTAAATATTGAAAAAAAAATGAAAAAAAAACAGAATTATGAACAAGCCGCAAGCGGCCGGTTGGTGGTGATCGGTGGTGAATGATGACTGGTGGTGTGACTATGATGATTAATAAATTAGTGACTATGATGATTAATAAATTAAAAAAAATATGGATTTATAAGGTTTGTAAATGTCCGGAAAATATTTTACTCTCTCGAAAATGGGAAGTTGTTATCCTTAAAAAATGACTTAATTTTCCTTTGACCAGGAAAATATTTTTCATTGACTTATTTTCTTGAGCACCCTAAACAACGGAAAATTATAAAAAATATTTTTCTATAAATTATTTTAGGGAAACAAACTGAACGTTATTGTTTTATTTTCTTTGGTAGAGCAACTTTCTTACATAACAAGAAGTTAGAAGTTTAACTTTAAATTTTTATTAATCAACTTGTTAGTAAATCTTAAAAATTTTAATTTTTAATTTTTATATTTTATATAATTTTTCTGATAAAATCCTATATGATGTAAAAACATTATACTGAGTCCAACTTCATTATAAACTGTAATTCAATTATATGGAGAACTATTCATAATTATTTAAAAATTTAATTTTAGACGTACCATGTTACCTGGCCACTTAGTATAAGGAATTAGCGTCAATTCAATCTCAATTTCCCCAAATATCAACTTTTTGACAATTTTTTCTTGAATTTACATTAAAAAAATAAAATGTCCAATTATTTTGCTCAAAAATAAATATTTGGTATAAATCAAATACAATTAAAAAATAATAAATATTTTATCTAAATAAAATGCAGTTAAAAAATTGTAAATATTTTTCTAAACAAATATTTCAATATAATCAAATGTTCTCTAATTCTATAATTTTTTTTTAGTCAAAATTTTGTGTAAGTACTTTTAAATGAAAGATAAAATACTGTAATTTTTTAATTATTATATTTTTTTAATAATTTTTTAAAATTTTAAATAATTTTTATTAGTTAAAAATATAAAAATTATTCTTTAAAAAAAAGGCTTTTTGTTCTTTTGGTGCAAGTTAAAGGATAATTTATATAAAAAATTAATTTTTACATAAATTGTATATTATTTACAAGTTGAGCTTTATTCCCTTAATATAACTGCCATATTAATTCTCTTTATCCCAAAATATAATCGAAGCTCTATCATTAACTGGCTCCTCTTATTGAAAGAGCTTACTCTACTTTTACTATTCCCTTTGGATTGAGTTTAAAGTTGTTTTGCAAAATTGCATTTGGCTTTTTTTTGTTTTTTTGTTTTTTAACTTTTGTAAAAAAGAATTGTTGAACTATTTTAGAAAAATCATGATTTTGAAAGATTTTAGAAAATCTAGCTTTTCTAAATTATGATTTCCAAAGTTTTAAATATTGGAAACTAAATGCAAAAATGACATAAAGAAAATACTAAAGTGTGTAAAATCAAGAGACCCTTTGCTGGAATGTGTGTGTTTTTCTAATGAATCATGATGGTGTGCCTCTTCTAAAATATTACCAACTAAGGATAATGTTTTGCTGTCAATTAGCAGTAAATAAATAAATAAAGTTTTGTAGGTTATTATTTCAATACTTTCTGATTGCTGCTTGTTTTGGTTATTTTGCAATTTAATTAACAAGAAATAAAAAAAAAAATATCAATGTAATACTTCTCAGATATTTTAAAGCTATTTTCTAATAATTTTTTAAGTATTTGGGAGGAAATTTTACTATATATGGCAAGACTTGAGCACTATCACCTACTCCTAGATGATAATTTCTCATAATTATCTAACTATTCAATAAAATAAGTTAGCGAATTAAGTCATTTATTTAATTTTATGGCACTTTAAATTTTTGTGTTAAATTTATTGGACAGTTTAATTTACAAATTATTCTATTAATTAAATACTTCAATTTATAAAATTAAATTGATTAAATACTCGTTAGATAGTTGAAATTTAAATATTGTTATTTTATAAATTGTAATAGTCACAAATCAAATTAAATTTTCAATATGAAGCCAAAAACTATTATAATGTTATTAAAATTCGTAATGTTAGAAGCATAATAGATCTCCATAAAATTTCAAATAACACAAAATTTTTTGAGAAAAAAAAATAAAAGGGTGAATTTATATATTTGGGCATTGTTTCTTCTGAATATGCTAATGGCAAAAAAAAAAAAAAAAAAATTATGGTTTTTGCAATTTTAGTCATTTTTTAAATTTTGACAATTGTGCTAGTGAAGTTATTTTTTCATTGCAATTATAGCATGTATTACAAGTTATTGACATTGTCGTTAGTGGGGTTCGTGTTTTGACACCATCAATGCCGTATTATTACACCGCGTCAACTTAAGTCAATTTTTTAGTTTAGGCAATTGATCCATAAATTTATTTCTTTTTTTCAAATTTTATGTTTTTGAAAATTATTTAATTTAAAATTTATTTATATTAGAAATAAATTATATTAGGCTAATAAACAGTTAAATGAAAAATATACAATATATTTGTGAGTTGTAATGTTATTTAGTATTTTGGAATTAAACTCT